GTTTTCTCCCTTTTTTTATCTGCCCAGGAAAAATTTTTTCTTTTTTTGAATGCACAACCATCAAGGAGGGGGAGGGGGCCTGAAGGCTTTAGCATGGGGGCCCCATTTCAGGATGTGGTGGCCATGCTTATGATATTGCTTTCTTTTGTATGAGTAATACCCATTTTATAAATATGGTTATACTTTTTCAATTAAGGGTCTTGAATATACTGGCAGGATGGCACAAGTCGTAATCAACTTGCATACGCGCTAGTTATTTAGCTGAAACAGAATTTGGGATGAAAAACGGTCTGTTGTTTGCTTTCAGCTCACCAAGCATGGTAAGCATCTGTAACTTCTTGCTTTTTGACTAACAATGTTGCTCCGATTGCTGTAGGACAGCCGGGTAATCACACTGAACTAAATGCAGCCATTAATGCTTACAGACATGCTTTAGGAGTAAACGCTGACTCTGCTTTGGTATTCACCTTTCCTAAACCCCAGTTTTTTTCCTGAGCTTTTTGCTTTAGCAAAAGAGTTTTTTTCTCGTTGCTTCAAGCTTAGAAATTTGCAGTCTCGCTTCCTCAATGCTCAATTAGATAAATGCGTCAACATTGTTAACCGGCAAGCCGAGCCGTCTTCGTGCAACTGTTGAGCCTATAAAAAATGAAAAAAAATGCAAAATTATTGAAAAATAAAAAAGATCTTAATTGGAGATTATCCAAAAAAGCAATATAAATTGCTAACGTTTTTTGTGTTTTATTTTCCTTTTTGATTTAACAGATGTAGGGTACTCCCCAGCAGCTCCCCCTTGAGGAGCAGTCATCGCAACAAATAGTTCGTTAGTTTTTTGTTCCCCGCTAGATTGATGAAAATCGCTATGTGTTAGTTCTTTAGATAAAGCTAATCAATTTTTATCAATCTTAAGATTTTTATTTTTTATAAACTTCCCGAAATATGCGACTCGCTTGTACATAATCATTAATTTTTGCTTTCGATGGATTCTCAGTCTGAATACATTAAAAGCAAAAACAAATGGTTATATTATGATTTTAACTAACGCATCAACGAGTATTTGTTGCAACTCTGCTCGCACATTTGCAGCTTTTTTGTAACTTTGTTATGACGTTTTACTCCATCAACAAATCCTGGTGCAAAAATTGCTTAAACGCAAACAAAGCTGAAAGCATTTGCAACCACTCCGAACAAAATAGCTTTAATACCAGCCATTTTGGTTTATATACCATATAAAATTTCTTTAATTTAATATTTTAAATTTTTCATTTTTGTCGGAGGTAAATTATAGTCAACAAGTTTTTGCCTAAAAACTTTACCAATAAAAAGATAAACTAAGAATTTGCCAACATAACGCATTCCCAAATCAAGCTCAGTAAGTTTTTCAACTTTGAACTTTTCAAAAATAACGGTAGGTGCAATAGATCCAGCTCCATAGACGAATAAATGATACAATACATCACCGACCCGCATTTTATAAGGGTTAGAAATACCACTTAGAGTTATTGTAGTTCCAGGAGATGCAGACATTGCGTTAAAATGCGATACGCCTAAACCAATAAAGGGTTTATAAAAGAGATAGCATTACTCTAAATAAGAGCTAAACGTTACTCCAAGAAATTTTTCTAGCGTTTTATATTAAGCAATAGTATTACCATAGCCGGGTTTGGAACAGTTGACGCTTTTGAACCGCTTTTTTGTCACTGTAAAGTTAATGCAAATCTGCTAAACAAATTCAAAAATACTTTTCTTGCATAAATAGCAAACTGCATCGCTTGAAAAACGTTAGGGAAAGAAGCAGGTGGTAGGCTTGAATTTTTGCATTTTGAGAGTAGCCTTACAAGATAAATATATATATATATATATATATATATATATATATATATATATATATATATATATATATATATATATATATATATATATATATATATATATATATATATATATATATATATATATATATATGTATATATATATATATATATATATATATATATATATATATATATATATATATATATATATATATATATATATATATATATATATATATATATATATATATATATATATATATATATATATATATATATATATATATATATATATATATATATATATATATATATGTCAAAAGACATCTCCTCATTGTAGGAGCAACAAATTAAGATACAGAGCTCGTGTTCAACCTACTTAAACTGCGACCGGAAGCTACAATTTTTTTGATATGCAACTATTGAAAATTATGAAACATAAAAAAAATTAACACAACAAAAGGTTTCACGTTGTACATCCGATCAATGGGGTTGTTCAAGGCGTTCTTAAACTTATTGAAAGTGTTATGGTCAGAGAGGAAACTCTTTTTATTGTGGACGATTGTACATGTGAAGGCGACCTAAATTCGTGGAAATCACCGCTAGCTAAAAATGCCATATCACGCTGCCACATAAAGCATTTGTTGTGTCTTTTAACTTAAAGGTATACAGGAACACCTCGAGTTGCCAAGACCAGCTTGACTTTATATGTATATAACCGCTAAAGGATTAATCAAGCTTTAAAATGATTATTGAAGAAAATTTATATTAAGTTTATTTGTACTTATTATAATAATAATAAAATATTAATATATTAAATTCGTATATATATAACTATTAAAAATATAATAAATATGCCAATTTCATTGCTTCAGATAAATACTAACATGAGTGAAATTTTAAAAAACAGCAATGGCGGTGCCGGTTTAAGCGCGAAGGTAGGATTAAAGGAATAGATATTGTTTTCCTTTTACATTGCATTTTTATGTTATATTTATACATTACTTTATAAATGTGATAAAGAAGCAGTGTGTAAGGTCCCTTCGGACTTTTGACATCCCCCCCCCCCTCCTTAGTTGCCGCTATTTATAAAAAGCCGGCATCCTTAAATAAACTCTGCGTTCTTCACTGAATGCCTAAATAAACATATTATTTTTAAACGTCATGTAAAATATAAATCAGATTTCATTTTCATAAGAAGCAGTAATCAATCAAATAAACTTCAACTTTCTCGGCAAAAACCAATTGTTTTTTCAATGAGAGTTTGTATCCCTTTATAAAAAACTAAAAGAAGTTAGCTGCACCAACTTGCCCCATTTTTTATTAATTTTACTTTTTTTAAGCTTAAGCTGCGACATTTTTTAGTTCTTTTTCAAAAATTAAAAAAATTTTTATCTCGTTTTTTCAAAGTTAATTTGCTCATTGACATTCTCATGCTCATTGACATTCTCATTCTCATCATTCATTTAACTGCACATTTTACGCTTAGATTAATTTTAAATTAAGCAACAATTTTTTATTAAAAGAAAATTTTTATTAAAGAACAACTAATAAACATCGCTTTAATTAGGATTCAATGCTTCCGTTATCAACAGTTTTTATAAGTTTGCCTAACGTTTACATAAAGTTTAAGTTTATCAACTTTTAAAGTTTTTATTTTGTAGAATTCATATTCCCGACGGTCAAAATGTCCGATTACTTGTAAATTGATCGGACAATCTGAGGTTTTAGCCGGACAATGTCCGATGTCCGACCGTTAAATTGAGCCCTGATTCAGGAAGATTTCCACTAATTAAAGATCTTAGAACAAAAACTAGCCATTTTAGTTTTTTCCATTCACTTAATGTGACATGTCTTTGAAAACCCTGTGTTTTTTAAAGGCACTTCAAAATGGTTGCAAATATCATTGATTTCCTGCACTCCTGATTCTAGGTCTTCAATTATCCAATATATTGGGTCAATAACTTTATGCTTCAATACAATATAAGTTCTCTTAAATAGTTCTGAAACCTGCATGATGATATCGAATATTGTTTTGAAAGAACGTCGAATTAAAAATTTTTTAATTCGACGAATTTTATCAATTGATTCATCATGATCAAAACTATTCTGTTCTAATATTACGCTGACATACGTACAATTTTTTAAGTGCTTTCATTTATAACCAGCCTT